TTTAGACTTTGCACCAAGAAAGATTTAAATTTTTTATTTTGTGCATTCAAATATCAATCAATATAATAAAGTAGTTTACAATTTAAATCTTAAAAGATAAACAAAATGATTTTTGTTATTCGCGATTGAAATTGCTTTAAATTTTACTTTAAAGTTAATCTCACGGCTAATATTAACACCCTAAATTTAATAGGAAAAATAGGATCCTAAATGTGTGTTTGGAGTGATTTTTTAAAAATACTTTTAGAAATTATTTCTCATAAATATTTTTTTTTTAAAATAGTGTTTGAAACCGCTTCACCACTACCTCTACCACCATCGTCGTTGCCACCACCGCCGTCGTCTCAACCACCGCCACCGCCACCGTCTCCACCACCACCCCCACCGCCATCACTAGCACCACTGCCACCATCACCACCACCACCGTCGCCGCCGCCACTACCACCACCGCTTCCATCACCACCACCCCCATTACCACCCCATCACCACTGCCATCGCCTCCACCACTGCCACCGCCACCACAGTTATTATCACGCACCACAACCATCACCGTGTCCTAATACCCCCACTGCTGCCCACCTCCTCTTACCTCCACTACAAATCGATGTTTAAATTACTTTATCTCTTCTCTATATTTGCGATTTGATTTTGAAAATGAATACAAATATGTTTATTGTTTACCATTTTTTATTATTCTGTACCTTCAGGCACAAGTAATAACTAGTTTATATAATAAAATAGTTTATAATTCAAATCTCAAAAGATAAACAAAATAATTTTTGATATTCGCAGTTGAGATCACTTTAAATTTGATTTTAAAGTTAATCTAACGGCTAATATTAACACCAAAAATGTAATAGAAAAAATAAGCCCCTAAATGTGTGTTTGGAGTGATTTTTTAAAAGTACGTCTACATATTATTTTTCATAAATACTTTAATAAAAAAAATTTATTTGAAATCGTCTCACCACCACCTCCACCATCGCCAACACCACTGCCACTACCACCACCATCATCGCTGCCACCACCGCCACCACCAACGTCACCGTTGTTGCCCCCGCCACCATCTCCACTGCCACTGCCATCACCACTATCATCGCCATCGCCACCATCGCTATCGCTGCCACCACCACCACCACCACCACCACCATCATCGCCCCTGCCACTACCGCCTACCACTACTCACCCCTACTACAAATCGATATTTAAATTCTTTTATCTTTTTTCTATATTTGTTATTTGATTTTGGATATGAATACAAATATGTTTATTGTTTATCTTTTTTTATTACTCTATGTCTTCAAGTACAGACAATAACTAGTTTTTTTATATTACACCCTTAATATATCAGAAGTGTTGTAATGTGGTTGCTATGTTAGCTTCCGCTATTTTTTTTGTCAAAAGTCAACTCATTGACATAAACAAAGAAATTAATTGAAAGTTAATAAAAAAAATCACATTGCAATACTTTTGATACATTAAGGGTGTAATGTGAAAAATTTAATCTTTAAGAGTACAAAGTTAAAAACTTGAAATCTTTCAAGATACTCAGTGAGATTCGTCCAACATATTAAGACACAAACCAAGGCTTGAATTATTCGTTGCATGAAAATATAAGTAAAAAACTACCATTTAAATTAGTAGGAGAAAACAAAGTACAATTTTTAAGGAAAGCTAGTTCCAAAAAAATAAAATCCAACATATGTAATTTATGAAAAACAAAATTGGGTGTAACCGTTATATTACGTTAGCAGTATTACATGATGTAACTATCCACTAATAAATAAACAAGTCAATAAGTAAGCCTTACTAAAATTCATAACTAATCAGTCATGTAGTACATAATCACCTCTATTATAAAAAGTAGACTTTATTTTATCCATTTTATTATTTTTTTAATTGAATGATTAGATCATGTCAACATTAACATGGTTTAATCGTTACATTCAATATTTACTCATAATTTATATACCTTTGCATATACTGGCCTTTTCGTAATAACTACACATTAGATTTGTTGAGTTCATTAGCTCTAGGCGTTTGCTTATAAATTGTTAGTGATGGCACGTAGGATGAATGAGATTGGAATCTTATTTTCAATCCTCACCAAGCCCACAGGTATGAAAGATATAATTCTTTTTTAATCTTATATACCACGTATAGCTTGTAATTTTTGAAATGAATATGAGTACTACATAAAAATAATAATTATATTTGATAATTAACTTTAGGGGTGTTAATCGACATGATTTACTCGGGCTTGACTTAGATAAAATTCGGCCTCGAGCTCGACTCATGTATTAAGCGAGTTGAATTTCAACAATTTTTTAAACTAATTTAAAAAAATGAATCTAAAAAACTCGATTTTTTCAAATATAAAATAGTCGATCTATTCAGACTCGGCTCAGGTTTGGCTCGAATTTGGGTTCGGCTCGAGTTCTAAACGAGGCGAGCTTGAACAATTTTTAAGCTCATTTAGAAAAACAGGCTCAGGTTTAAGCTTGCAAAACTCAACTCGATTAACACCCATAATTAAGTTAAACATCTTTTATTTAATTTAGATTATTAGACACTTGAAAGATCAATATTATAATTTTTTTTTGTGGTCCCCATAACAAAAGTAAAGACTTTATTTTATATCAATTGACTTTAATGTCATTGTCTTGATGTTGAACATTAATCATTAGAAGAGTCAACACCGTAATTTACTGATTTAGTATCATGTGTTAGTTTTCTATCTCATTTTAATCTCATTTCTCTGGTATTAAAATGCCTGGTACTCTGGTCTATTAAAATGCATGAGTTTATTTACACTAGTATCCGGGTCTATTTTATTTTTAAATGATATAACCGGGCTGACAAAAACATAATAAATGCAGGATAAAGATGATTTGAACTATTTTTATTTATCCCATATATTTATACCACCCTAAAACCAAAAAAAAATATGCCTCAAGTATTAAATATTTATAATTAATATTACCGTTACATTAAATATTTGTTCGACTTTATAGACCCTACCAAACCGGTGCCAAACTTTGGTTGGGTTACACTTTATTCCCCAAGTCAGCTTCTTCACCGACTTATACTTCCCTAAATCCTGCCTAAATCCAAATAGACCAGGTTAGGGAGGATGGTACTCTTTTTTCAACACAAACTTCGTAAAAAAGATCTTTGACCAAACTAACAATTTGAAACTTACGAGGAAAAAATTAAGTTATAGCTGACTCATGAAATGCTACCTTCTACGCATCACCTTCATCAAATCTATTGTTTTCTTAACTACCATTACCTTTGTGACTGTGAGAAATCGAGAATTTTGACTATACGACATTTAGAAGTTGACAATAATGACCTCTTATCTATACTTTATGATCAATGTCGGTCGAACTTTTTCATTTGGTACACATTTATTTATTACTATAAAGTGATGATGAGTGGATTCGAATTTCGACCAAGTTTTGAATAGTAATAGACAAGATGAGGAGTAATTATCTTTTCAAGAAAAACGTGTATAAAAGATGTTTTGAGATTTGAAACTGACCAAGAAAAGTTATGGTTTGCTCAAGAAATGCTAACTTCTACTCTCTATAACAAAAAACCTGTAAAATTTATCTCTAGCAACACTAAAAAGAGTTGAAACTTTACTCCAAAAAAGTAAAGTATGGTTTGCTTAAGAAATGCTTGTACACATCACCTCCATCAGATCTATTGTCTCTTTGCTATCATTTCCTCTATGATGATGTGGGAGACTCACAGAATTTTGACTTTGATACATTGAGGAACTGAGAATTGATGAGTTGATTCTAATACAAAAGGCTCACAAACACATGCATATTGTTGTGGGGTATGTATGCTGTTTGTTTTGTTGACAATTGGGAGAAATATATGTATTCACTTAACGTCAGGTTACAAGAGATTTATCTTTCATGAATATTTTAATTTCAGTATAGATGATCTACTTTTAACCAAATTAAAAAGAAAATTAATCGAAATACGCGTAAACTGATCTTAAATATCTCTGATCGTTGAACTAAAAAAAATATATCTCTCAATTGGGGTTTGGTTTGAACAATCTATCAAACTTGTCTAACTCATCCAAGTTACGCATTATAAACGTTTTCAAAATTCCTACGGAAAATATTCAATGCTAGCGGGAATTAACTTATTTAGATAAATAACAATTTTTATAATTACTTTAATAAATTTCCACAAAAGTACAATAGTAGATGCAAATTCTCATATAACACCGTTTGTGTTATTTATTTTTTTTCGTTTTTTTGTTATAAATTGTCCAAATTTGTGTCGACTATCCCCTAGAACTTAACAATTGATCATCATGATTTGAATTAGATTAGAGCAGTGGCCAAACTTAATCACTGAACCGCCGATAAAAGTTACAATAAGTATTGTTTGAAAAGAAAAAAGAAAGTAGATTTTTAGGTAGGATTCCAAGTTATTTATACCATGGACAATTAAAGTAACACGACTGTCCCCACTATATGGTATTGCTATATATAAGAGACCAATCATATATAAAATTAACTATGTTCAGATTTGATTTGTTTACTTTTTGGGTGAGCACGACCAGAATTTATTCAGCATTTAAAAATTCAAAAAAATATTCAAAGTCCATGAAAGTCGTTTTAAAAAAAAAATTTAAGTTATATTGAATAGTCTATTTATGTTAAACGAATCATTTTTTTTTTTTTTTTGTTGTATCAAATAATCGGTTTATGTTCATGTAGTAATAGCTGGTCTAACAGGTCTACTCGGTTCCCACTAAACCTAAACCGAGAAATTTAAATTAATTTCTAGAAGACAGATATTACAGAAATAAACAATACTTTACTTTTATATTGGTGGTTATTTAGAAAAAAATAAAAAAACCCAAAGCAGTGTCTCCCTCGATAGCATAAATGCCATGGAGACACACACACAGCCTTAAGCCAGATGGCTACTCGATCTTTTATAATTTGTAACGCCTGCTGACACCTATTCTCATGCATTTGCCTTTGCCCATTTAAACTCAATCAACCCCCAACAATCTCCAAACCAATCCATCTCTCTCTCTCTCTCTGTTCCGCTCTCTGCAACAGCCATGGTGGTCTTATCTCAGCCAGCACAAGACAATTTCTCTTTCATCAAGACATGCAAACCAACCTCCAGCCTTTTCACTGGAATTCCAGTAATAGACCTCTTACACCCTCACGCAGAGACACAGATAGTTAAGGCTTGTGAGGAATATGGGTTCTTCAAGGTGGTCAACCATGGAATATCAATGGAGTCCGTGACTTCATTAGAAGCTGAAACTATTAAGTTCTTCAAGCTACCACAGTCTGAGAAAGACAAAGCTAGCTCTCCTAACCCTTTTGGATATGGTAACAAGAGAATTGGTCTAAACGGTGATGTTGGTTGGATAGAGTACCTTCTCTTCAGCACCAACCCTGAAATCATTTCCCAGAAATCTCTCTCCAGTTTCCCGGGAAATCCAGAATTTTTCTGGTAAGAATTTCACCCAAATTGTTATTTTTCTTACAATAAACAGGTAGAGCTATATAGTCCAGTTATATGGAGTTAACTAGGAGACATCTCCTATAGTCGGATATTTTGGGTTAGATGTATAACGTCACTGTATACTTATTTTGATTGGCTTAAAATCGACAAAAAAAAAATCAGTTTTTAGTCTAACTTCGAGTTCGACGGGTATCTTTTAAGTTTAACCGATACTTGTGAAAAAGTATGCAGATTTATTCCCCCAAAGGCTAATACAAAGTTTCTGCTTGTTTGTGACATTGTTTTTTGTTGTATGAATGGTGTATATATGTAGGTCTCTAGTGAATGATTATGTATCAGCTGTGAGAAATATGGCCAGTGAAGTGTTGGAAATGATAGCTGATGGGTTGAAGATTGGGCCAAGGAATGTGTTGAGTAGGCTTTTAAGGAATGAAAAGAGTGACTCTTGTTTCAGGCTAAATCATTACCCACCATGTCCAGAGCTTCAAGCTTTGAGTGATCGAAGTTTGATTGGGTTTGGAGAGCACACAGACCCACAAATAATATCTGTTGGGAGATCTAACAACACATCAGGACTGCAAATCTCTCTCAGAGATGGGACATGGGTTTCTGTCCCACCTGATCAGTACTCCTTTTTCATCAATGTTGGTGATTCCTTGCAGGTAACTGTTACCTTCACTTTTTTTATTTAAAAAAAAAGGTTTAGGTATTTATACAGGCTTGACCTAGATTTATCTCATTTTAAGTTTGATTTAACCTTGTTCAATTAAAAAATGGATCAATTTTGAATAATTTTTTATATTGATTTTAAACTTAAGTTAGTAAGTTCGACTATTTTATATGTAAAATAATCAAATTATTCGGATTCGATTAATTTTAAGTAGCAGAATCAAATTTGAAAACTTTTTATAGGCTTATTTTGAAAAACGACAGACTCAGACTCCAACTCGTTCATTCGGCTGACCACCCCTACGTCCAATCCTGAAGCTTAAATGTTTCCTACTTTTGAATAAAATCCTTTTGCTTTGATTTTTTGGTTTCTGGTTTAGCTTTATAAGTTTCTTCAATTTTCTTTTCTTTTATCTATTCTTTATGATGAGATGTCATAGCATCCTCAATCGGTTAGGGTATTTTTATTTAACTAATTTCTTTTCTGCAGATCCACACTCTCTCTCTCTTCCTCTCACGACAAACTTCCAGCACAAAAAATATATAATTCTTTTTTATTCAGTTTTTTGAATAAATTCCTTTAGCTTTGCTTTTTCTTGGTTTAACTTTAGAAGTCTGTTCAATTTTCCTTTATATTTTTAATAAATGGTGAGATTTCCTAGCATCCTTCAATGGATTTTGGTCTTTAATTGATGTCTCCAAATTATGTCTCTAAATATCATAGCAGAAAAAAAAAGCTAAATTTTTTTTTTGCTATTGAAGCTAAAGGATTTTAATCAAAAGTAGGAATTATATGAATTTCATGGTGGAAGTTTGATGTAAGAGGAGGAGAGAGAAAGTGAGAGAGACCCAATGGAGAACAAAATAAATGTTTGATAAGAAGATTTCCTAGCATACTTAATGGTTTTGGTCTTTTAATATAAATATTCTTTTTCCAATGGGTTTCTCTCACTTTCTCTCTCTCCCTCTCACATCAAGGTTGGCAATTCTTCCTTTTTCTGCATGGGTGTTTTGCTTTTTCATGTTTCTATAAACTAATGTTTATTGACTTCAATAATATTTTTTGACCATTCTTTCTTTTTCTGCCTGGGTGTTTTTCTTTTTCATGTTTCTAGAAACTATGTTCATTGACATTAAAATAATATTTTTTTATGTGCAGGTAATGACTAATGGGAGGTTTAGGAGTGTAAGGCATAGAGTTTTGGCTGACAATTTGTCATCAAGAGTGTCGATGATCTACTTTGGAGGGCCACCTTTGTGTGAAAAGATAGCACCTTTACCTTCACTAATGGAGGAAGGAGAAGAAAGTCTGTACAAGGAGTTCACATGGTGTGAATACAAGAAAGCAGCTTACAAAACAAGGTTGGCTGATGATAGGCTGGGGCTGTTTAAAAAGTCTGCAGGCCAATGATGGGGTCAAATATGAAATAACCAGAATTTAGGGTTTTTCAAATATCTAAAAATAGGGTTTGAAAAGGTTTGACTCCTTCCGCCTGCCATAGATGGATGGGAAAATAGGTTTTTGTTCTTTGTTTCATCACCCCCAGCTCACCATTTTCTTTTTTGTTGGTGTTTTAATTGTAGCAACTACCCCTCCACAATTAATGCAATGTCGTCATCATGATATCACCATGGACACTTGTTTTAGATACTACCAACTCAAAATGTGGACATTACCAAATGTTGGCTTTCTTGTCAACGCATCACATCAATAATTTCTAAATCATGTAATAAAAATTTTGTATTATATTCTCTAACTCGTATATTGATGACAGACCTAGTTTGAATTTATAATAGTACATTGGAAAAATTAAATGAATCTAATAACAAAAGAATTTGAATTCGTATCATCTTATTCAATCACAATTTCAAAATTTTGCGCTTGTCGAATATTGAACCCCCCCCCCCCCCCCCCCCACCCCCAAATCTCAAAATTGGTGATGAAAAATGAGAAATGTCATTATGTGAATTATTTCGTATAAAATGATTTAAATTCCCTAGCCAAAATTTTTTAATTTTTTTTATTAATGGTAGACTATTGGTCACGTATTGGTGGAGAATTTATTAATATATTAAGTTTTACTTGAATTCATGGTTGATTAAAATCAGTGAAAAAAAATAAATAAATAAAAAATTGAAGGAGATCTAAACCCTATGCAAACTTGGTGAAGTATGAAAGTTTCTCAAGTTCTAGACGATTAATTTGAGGATGAAACTAGTAAACTTGGTGAAGTATGAAAGTTTCTTAAGTTCTAGATGATTAATTTGACCATGAAACTTGCAGTGACCGCCCATCTCAAACTGGCGTTCTCATCTTTCTTTCTATGTAACTTTAATTTCTCTGACCTTTTCGTCTAATTATCCACATAGAAAAGGACATCCATATAATGGTCGTTCAAAACGGAAAAGCTAGCATTGCCCACAACGGAATAATTGTCTAGGGAAGATTCTTAGACAACTAGGAAAGGTCACCTAAGAGGTCACAGTCAAGAAGAGTTTGTGTTGACCATCCAACTCAGAGACTAACTATCTAATCCGAACGTGGTTTCTAGCATTATATGCCAATGGAATTGTGCAAAGTGGGAGAAGATGGTGAGTTTGCGACTTGAAGTTTCGGGGTCTAAAACACTTAGCCGGCTCTGTTAGTCTTGCGGTCCAAGGGTACAATAGTAATTTAATCTAATTTTGATCTGAATCTAATTTTATTGTAGCCGATATCTTGAATCTGAATTCGAATATGTCATGTGAATTGAGATACATCAATATATTATCAAATTAAGATCTGATCCAAATTATATGTGCGTACGAACACATATGGCGAAATTAAGTAATTATTTCATGATATTCAGAAAAAATTCAAATATAATTTCTTAAAATCCATCTTAATTTATTTAGCAATTTGGGTTTTTAGATTAGATTTAGTAGATTGTGAAAAAAAATTCATTGTATACTCGAATTTGATTCTAATCTTTATTTTTAATTGAATTCAAATTCAAATTAACTAATAGTCGATTTGGATTCGATCCATTGCCAAGCCAACCAAGGGTCGCGCGGGATGAGTCTAGGTATTACTTTCAATATCCCCAAAGAATTGGAAAATAAATCTCTATCCCTATAAGTTAAGAAATTTTGATCATAGAAATTCGTTTTCTTGATGGTATGGCATAAACCTTGGATATGGGGTTCTAAAATATGAAGAAAAAAAATATTTAATGCTTATCAGAGACCGCGTAATCAAATAATATCTTCGTCCCCTTCCACTATGCCATGACCCTTCGTAAGGATGACAAAAACAATGACCCAAACAAGGACATGGTCAAATAGTATATTAAAGTATCAAATAAGACAAGTAAAAAGAGCTACCAAAGTTGAAAACTTCTGAAAATTTTAAAACACACTCAAAGTCTACACGGTTATGTAATAACGTTATCTTTCCTCCATCCCGGCAGCAAAATAGGCAACATAAGAGGTAGTTCAAGTAGTAATAGAGACGAGCTGTAAATATAGACGTCTTGAGTTCGAAGTTTGACAATCTCTTGAGACCAAGTTATGAGAGATTTGTCCCTTATGAATACTTTAATCCTGACGTGAATGGTTTGATTTTGACCGAACTAAAAAAAAGAATTAATCAAGATGCATGTAAGTTAGTCTAAACAACACTGACTATTTAACCAAAAAAAATAAAAAACAACGTAGGCATGAACCAAGTTCCCTTTCTAAAGTGGAATATTAATACCAACAAGTACCTAAATTCATCTATGATTGATATTATTCCCTTTTTTTTTGGAGAGAGAGAATTGTACCCATAAAAGAATATGAAGAATGTAATTTACACAAGAAGATTCGGGTCCTTCCAATTTAAATTATTGTTAATTTCGATCTAGATTACTTCGTTAGTGGAAATGTGTAATCTAAGACATGCCTAAAAACTTCCCCAGTTAAACTCTCAAGAGGGGATACTCAGGATGAAAACAATTTAGTCCAATGAGAATACTTTTCCGTAGGTAATTACACCTCTCTTACCCCCCAAGAGGGTAGGATATATTTTTTCGGGTAAATATTATAATTAGTCCTCAAACTTTATTTTTTATTTTAAAATAATATTTCAACTTTCAATCATCTCAATTTAGTCCCCAAATTATCGATTTTGTGTCAATTAAGTTCTTTTGCCAATTTTACGAGTTAGAACAAACGAAAATAAGTCACTTGTTTGTCATGCAACCGTCCATGTCATGCACCGCCATTTGTTTTAATGGTTGAAATTAATGGAATGACTTAATTTACATAAAACTGATAGTTGAAAGATTAAATTGGAAAAAAATAAAAATTCATAAACTAATTTAAAACAGGAGACAAAGTTTAAGAACTAATTATAACAATTGCCCAAAATTTAGACAAAACAGATTAGATTTCCCTCACCATTCGAGGGTGTACGCATAACCTAAGGGGCTTCTCTTCATACTCCTTTTTTTTTTTTTCGGTAAGTAACTCTTCATACTCTTACGTAGCCCATTCTTCTCCAATTAGGGTGAGGCACTTGAAAGTTGGTGGGACGAGTTGAAATCTTCGCTCTCTCTCTCTCTCTCTTTTTTTTTTTTTTTCTGAACATGAGATCAGAAAATATCCAAGGAATTTTCAAGTAACAACTCTGTCAACTTCAGATGCAGTACGATGGAAGAGGATATCCCCAAACATATTCAATGGTTTAACTAGGCAAGCTATTGACTTTTGTTCACCTATTTCGGCAAGAAGTTTTTAGGCATAGATTGTATTTGGATTAATTTACACGTATCTCGAATAAATTATAATAAATTTTTAATTCTAACGTGAATAACTTGTCTTTAAGTAAAGGTAAGAACTAGACACACGTTTTCCCTTTCATAATCACTACTAATGCATTAAAATTGAGAAGGAAGCCAGCCTAAATTAAGCAATTTCAATCACAAATATACGAAGTTTGATACTATTGCCTATTCTTAAAATAGTAGTTAGTTCCTGAAAAGCAATACAAATGTTATCTTTATTTCGCGTCAATTCAATGTTTGGTATGTACGCAATTGTGACAAAAAAATCTCGTTTTCTGAAAAAGTGATTCGTGCAAAGAGGACGTAAATTACTTTCACCTGGGCAATGGTAACCTCACATTCTCAATATAAAAATTATCGTGAATAGTATTTTTGTATTAAAAAAATGGAATTGTATTTCTGAGGACTCATTCCAGCTTTCCAAGCTGGACTTTGATTTAAATGGTGTTTGATAAAATTAAAAGTTGAACAATAAAAATTGAATGTTGAATTTTAAGTATTGAATTGAATCAAATTGTTTGACAAATATAATGAGTTGAAGTCTAAAAATTATTATTATTTTGAAAATGGTGGTAATGGTAGCAACGACACAATGGTGGTGGTAGAGACAATGGTAGAGGCGACGGTAATGGTGGTAGTGATGATGGCGGTGACACAATAGTAGTGGTGGTGGTGACACAATGATAGTAGTGATGGCGACAGCAGTGGTGGTGATAGCATAATGATAGTGGTGGCGGCAACAAAATAGTGGTGGAGGTGGTGGTGTTTGTAGCAATGGCGGTGGCAAAATGGTAGTAGTGATGGTGGTGGTAACAATGGTAGTTGTGGTGGTAGCAAAATGATAGTAGTGGTGGTGGCACAATGATGATGTGACAATGTTGGTGGGGGTGGCAATGACAGTGAAACTATAATAGTGATGGCGACGACATAATAGTGGCGATGATGGTGGTAGTGATGGCAGCAACACAATGGTGGTGATGGTGGATAGTGGATATTGAAAAGTTAAGGGTGTAAGATGTATTGAGGGTATATTTATCCATTATTAGGAATTGATAAAAATTTTACTGACTAATATTTTTAGTATTAAGTGATAAGTATATGACTTGCTATTTTAAATTTTAGTCTATTTTTAAGAAATGCTTAAAATATTAAGTTGTATGAATATTAGGTTATCAAACGGGTTTAATTCATTAAGTGCTTAAGTGGTATTATCAAACAGGCCATTAGTGTTTGATAAAGTGAATTTTCAGTTCTAAAAATTGAATGTTGAATTCTAAATTTTTAAATATTATATTAAATAAAATTGCTTGACAAAAACAATAAACTGAAGTCTAAAAATTATTATTATTCTAATTTTATTTTTCTCTTCTCTCATAACAATTATTTTATTTCTATCACCACCATCGCTACCATTTTACAATCACCACCATTGTCCTACATACATCAATGTTGCTATTGCCACTACCCCCACCATTAAATTCTCCACCATCCCACCACCACCACGACCCCAATGTTGTTGGTGCCTGCTGAATTAGATTAAACTGGTTTATCAATTAAAGAGCTTAAGTCTAATAGTAATTAATTTCTTCAGGTTTGTCTTTCAACTCTTTACTATGAAATCATTTATAAAATATTTATTTTTCTAATAAAAATTGTGTCACATCAATAACAAATAGATTGCAACTCACTAAG